TTGTATATTGACATTGTATTCTGAAACCTTCAACTCCTTTATTAATTCTAACAGCTTTTTTAATGTATTCCTTAGGATTTTCTATTTACACAATGTCATCTGCAAGTACAGATAGTTTTACTTCTTCCTTTCCTACCTGGATGCCTTTTACTTCATTTGCCTAACTGTTCTGACTAGACTCTCCAGCATGTTTTTTGTTTGTTTTGTTTTATAAATTTTAATGTTTACTTATTTCTGAGAGAGAGACAGAGTACAAGTGGGGGAGGGGCAGAGAGAGAGGAAGACACAGAATCCAAAGCAGGCTCCAAGCTTTGAGCTGTCAGCACAGAGTCTGACACAGGGCTCTAACTCACAAACTGTGAGCCTGACCTGAGTTGAATCAAGCACTTAACTGAGCCAGTCAGTTAATGCTGGCTAGCGTAATGCTGAATCCAGCATAATGCTGAATAGAAACGGTGAGGGTAGACATCCATGTCTTGTTCCTGATCTTAAGGGGAAAGCATTCAGCTAACCCTGATGTTAGCTGTGGATTTTTAAGATACCCTTTATCAAGTTGAGGAAACTCCTCTCAATTCCTAGTTTGTTGGGTATTTTTTTAATCACAAAAAGGTATGAAATTCCATCAAATACCTTTTCTGCCTCTACTGAGATGATTATGTGGCTTTTATTCTTTATTCTATTGATATAGTATATTACATCAATTGATTGTCAGAGGCTAAACCACCCTTGCATTCCTGGGATAAATCCCATTTGATCATGGTGTGCAATCCTTTTTATATGTTGCTGGATTTAGTGCTCATATTTTGTTGAGGCTTCTTGTATCAGCATTCATAAGAGATATTAGCCTGTAGTTTTCTTTTCGTGTAATGTCTTTGTCTGGTTTTGACATTGGGTAACACTTGCCTTTAAAATGAGTTAAGAGGGGCGCCTGGGTGGCTCAGTCGGTTGAGCGTCCGACTTCAGCTCAGGTCACGATCTCGCGGTCCGCGAGTTCGAGCCCCGCGTCGGGCTCTGGGCTGATGGCTCAGAGCCTGGAGCCTGCTTCCAATTCTGTGTCTCCCTCTCTCTCTGCCCCTCCCCCATTCATGCTGTGTCTCTCTCTGTCTCAAAAATAAATTAAAAAAAAGTTAAAAAAAAATTTTTTAAATGAGTTAAGAGATGTTCCTGCTCTTCTATTTTTTAGAAGACTTGTGAGTAATTGGTATTAATTCTTCTTTAAATGTTTGATAGAATTTGCCAGTGAAGTGATCTGGTGTTTCACTCTTTCTGGATTCTGAAATTCCATAAAGGAACAATGTGATTCTATAGTCCAGAATAAAGGGTAAAGGATAGTTCTACTTGTGTACTGCATGGGTAAAACACACCTGGACACTTCTCACATGTGAACTGCATATTTTTGAGGGTACCTGACAAACTAACAAAATCCAAAGAAGGAAGTCTCCACAGCGAAAGACATCATATGAAGAGCTTTTGAAGAGCTAAATGTTTACCTGAAAAATGGGATTTAGGAGGCAAAAGAGTTATCCACAAACACTTCAGAATTGTGCTTCAAAATATAAAAATTTCCAGAGTGCCTGGGTGGCTCAGTCAATTAAGGCTCTTGTTTTCAGCTCAGGTCATAATCTCACAGTTTCATGGGTTCCAGGCCCGCATCAGGCTCTGTGCTGACAGTGCAAAGACTGCTTGGAATTCTCCCTCTCTCTCTCTCTGCCTCTACCCCGCTCATGCTGTTTCTGTCTCTCTCAAAGACAAATAAAGAAACTTTTTTTTAATGCCTTAAATATATATATATATTTATATACATTTATATATTTATATATATATATTATATATATATATATATAAAATATATATATATAAATTTACTGGTATTACTCAATACTCAAAGTCCACTCCAAGGCACAACAAATCATTCATTTGTTCAATGAACTTTATTCCGCATTTCCTTAGAAGGAGGCCCTGTGTTAGGTAACTGCCTAGGATAGATAGATTGATAATGTAGAGTCTAGGAGCAGAGATAAGACAAGCTCACAAAAACTAACCATAGTACAAGGGAGAGAATGAGAGGTGTCATGTGAGTAGAATAAAACCTACTTTGAAATTCAGAGGCAGGAGTCTTTATTTCCCACTGGCAGGACAAAGGCACCTGGAAAAAGGAAGCATTGAGTTGAGCATGAAGGGTGTGTACTAATTTTTGTGGGGAGAAATATATTAAGAGGTCATTCCAGATGGAGGGAAAGCAGAAGCAAAAGTTTAGAGGTGGAAACAGAGTCAGACATCATGGTGGAACAAAGCTGAAGAAATGAATAGCCCAAGCTGACCAACAATACAGGTAGAGCTATCAATTATTGGGGGATAAAACTAGAAGGGTGTCAAATAAAGTACAAAGAACTTGTATTCTAAGCTACAGAGAATGACTATGCAAAGGTACTGTTAAAGGTTTTAGAAGATACAAATGCTGTGTATAGGTGTGGGTGTTTATTCCTGGTATAAGTTAGAGGCAAACATGGGAGAGGCAGGAGGCTTGCACAATGGTTATGAGAAATGAAGTCCCGAAGCAGGTCTCAAGAAGGTCACAGTGGCGTTTGGAGAGAGACCAATGAGATAGTTCAGAAATTGAATCAACAAACCCTAGACCTGAACTGGCAAATCTAAGGGACCGTGGAAACAGCAGAAATCCCAGCTGGAGGAGGAACTGGCTGGCGGCGGGACTGAGAGTGGCAGAGTGAATATGGAAGTACAGTGTTATTACCCAGATGAGTGGTTAGGATAGAACTGGGGGAATGTTCTAACCTACAGTCTTGCTCCAAGCACTTCTCAGCCTTTCCCCAACTCCATAGGGCTCAGAGGCTGCTTGACAAGAAAATGCCTGAAAAGAACAATCAAACACAGAGCCAGATGTCCTGGACAGAATCCTCCCTAGCAGATGCTTCACTGGCTACCCAGTGTAAGTCTCCATGATAGTAAGGGCTGGTTGCCCCCTCAGTGAGATCCCCAAATAGACGATCTGAACGGCTGCCTTCTGGTCCTGCCATTCTTTACCTCTGAAACCTTAAAAGATGAACTTTCTAAGTCTCCTTCATTTGTAACATGGGGATGATAATGTATACTACATCTATTTCATAGGTTTGTGAGGTTACACAGGAAGATGCAGACTGCTGTAAGACACACAAATGCCAGAAGTTCTCTGAGCAGAAACTACAAAAAAAAAAAAAAAAAAAAAAGTCACGTCTGTATCCTTCATAGAGCTAAGTATAGAAAAAGGGAGGGAGCAAGGTGGGCAAGAAAATACCATAGCCTGGACCCCAGGGGCCTATGTTAACCAAGGAATATTGCCTACCAGATCTTGGAGAAGATCCCATTATCCAGAGAAACAGGAGGGACCTTGATAATCATCCAGGTCAACCTCCTCGTTTAACAAATGGGAAGTTTTACCCTGAGAGAGGCCCAGTGATCTGACCAAGATCTTTAGTGGCATATGGGGATATGGCCAATAACACATTCACAGTTTAGATGGTGATTTTACCCACATCAGTTTACAAATAGCCTTTGAGCTGGGTGGGAAAGGATTTTTAAAATTCCCATTTTTAGTGTGAGGTTCAAAGACTTGTCCAGGAGGGATTCAAATCCAAATGGCCATACCCCCCCCCCAGTCCACTGCTCTTTCCTTACAGCACAATTTCACACACATGTGCCATTTCAAGAACAATCATTTCAGCATTCAATATATTTCAAACTCCAAATTGTTTGTTTCAGCCTGCCTTCAGCAATATTTCACATTCAACCTTCCCCAGTAGAATTCTACTGACCTTTCATCTTAAAGAAAAACCAGTGCAGCAGCCACCTTGGTACCAGAAACATATTTTAAAATGAATCATCAAAACTGGGTCTTTCCAGATAAATCATCTTCACAAAGTATATCCCTATATGTGTATCATTCAAGACGTATATCATTATTGCACTAAATACACTGGACTAGGGTGCTCGAAGAGCAATGATAGTTCATTAATTGAAGCAATATGTAACATACAAATGCTAAGAAGGCCTTTTAGCAAAGGAGTGGAACACTGAGGTAAAAACTTCCTCACTTTATCAGTAAAAACTAATTTGCATTATGGAAGGATCTCAAAGTTAGTGACCAACACTGCGAATGACCCCGATAATTCTAGTCATCAACATCCAAAGGATTTCTACCTGAATGTGTTTTTATTTGGGGAGGCCCAGGGAAGGGGTGGGGGAAGAAAAGGCTAAGATGGAATCAACGCACCAACTGCCTCAGTGTCCTCTTTACTAAACAGGGACTGTCCTTCCACCACAACCCTTATTTCAGGAGCAAGGCATTCATGTTCAGCTGCCCTTTTTTAACTCAACAGAAGAGGGTTAACATTGCTCAGTCCCTTGAAGCTTGCAAGGCTTCTCATTGGGGTTCACTAGGAGTGTGCTGACACCTCCAGGCGGTACTACCAACGGGCCGGGAGCCCGGCTGTATAGCGACCCTCTACCTTAACCTGCGTTGCACTACGCGAGCTTGGGAACGAGCCTCGGGCGCTTCGCAGTACTTTCTGCTGGAAAGCACCGGCATTCGTTCCTCAAGTTCCCTCTCCTTTCTCTTCATCTCGTAAAACCTCTACACAACTCCCCACCCCGACCGGGTCTGCGCAGGTAACTGATCCTCAGAGCCCAGCAGCCCCCGAGGGGGACTAGGCACCTGCCTGGTGAAGGCACCTGCCACCGGCCTGCCCCGGCCTCGCCGGGCGTGGGGGACCTCAGGGATGCCCCCCGCACTAGCCGCCTCCACAACCACCACCGCCAGCAGCAGCAGCAGCAGCAGCGAGGCCGAGAGGCCGGGCCCGCGCCCCACGGCCTTCCCACGGAGGGCGCTGCCCGGGGGCTGCGGGCTAGCGCGGGGAGGACACCGGCTCCCGAGACTACGCCCCCACCTCCATTAATAAAACGCAAGGGGAAGGGGGGGGTTAAAAAAAAAAAAAAGCTCCATTTACCGACATGAGTGATCACTGTGGCCAGTCGCCGGCTGAGCTCCTGGGGGGCCATTTCTTCCAGTAACCAAAATAGCATTTCACCGAAAAGCCACTCAGTATATAAACAAAACAAAGCAACAGGAAAGTGTTTGTATGGCTGCTAACGGATGGTGTTTCAAAAGCATCTCCTCCCGAGGATGCGATGCCCTCACACTCTTCCTCTCTCTCTTCAGGCACAAAACGAGTCACTCCCAGCCCAGGCCAACTTTCCTGGGCCGCTCGGCCAGCCCCGCTAGCCACGCCCTGCGGGGTATTGTTTTAAAGATTAAAGTCCAGTAGCTTTGCAAACGTAACGTCTGGCTTTGAGAGAGAGGGAAATGGCAGTTTTGGAGGTGAGAAAAGCAAGTCGCCCCAAAGCTCGCCGTAACCGCGCGTCAGGCTTCCCCCGCCGAGGAAGCGCGTAGGTTTCGGGATTTGCGGTCCGGATGGGTCGGGTCTTCGGCGCCGCCTTTCGGGAGGGTCGGGAAGAAGGATGCTTGGCGGGCACACGCGGAGGACGGAAGAGCGGAGCAGCGGAGGAGCGTAAGCGACAGGCTGCCTGAGGCCCCGGCTCCCGTGCGCGGCCCGCCTCCCGCCCCGCTGCGCGCCCGGAGCTCGGGTCTCCGCGCCCACCTCTCCCCGCCCGCCGCAGCGCGCACGCGCCCGAGCACCATCTGTTGCCAGGTGGAGAAGCTGCGCCCCTTGCTCTGCCGGGAGCCCGCGCTGCGGTCGCCGAAGTGGGGGCGACTCAGGGTCTGTCCTCGCCGCTGTGGGGGAGAGGAGACAGCAATTTCCGCGCTCCTGCCGGTGCCGGGGTTCTGAACGCCGGCCTCGGCCCCTCTCCTTGTCCGCCAGGTGTCTGCGGAGCGGCCGAGGCGAGAAGAGGGCTGACGGGGAGAGGTGCAGTCATCCCGCCAGGGGCTGCTGCTCGCGCCCCCGCCCCAGGGGTTGTCACACGCAGTTATCAGCGTGCACTGGGCGCACTCGCACTTGGAGCCGGGAGCGCGGGCTGTGCGCGTACAGGGCTGGGCACGCATGTGCGACACACATCTCCACCGTGTGGGCCTTTTCCTTTGTGCAACTACTCCAGGGCGCCACCGCTCCGTCTGCCACAGAGAGGCGCGCCAATGCTCCATCCTAAAAAGGCTCTGGCACCAGTCCCACGCGGGGCCCTCCTCCCTGTCAGCTCCCGGAGCGTCTTCGAGCAGCTATCCCGCTGCAATCGCTGTCACGCAGTTTCCTCAGGTGGCCTCAGATACTACCAGACAGGTAGCAAAAGACTAATCCAGCTCATCAGAACTCCACGGCAAAAGCCTGAGCAAATGCGAATCTGGTCAGGTTGTTCTTCAATCCATTCTGCAATGAGGGAGCCTGATTGTCTGGTCAAAAGAATGCCAGGACCATCCCAGGTTCTGAGCCGATGTCAGGAAGCTCAGCTCTTCTCTTTGACATGTAAAACGTCAGACCCCAAACACTCTGGATCCAATTTCTAGTAGTAGCCACTCATCCCAGGGGTTTGAGGACATTTGTAAATGCTTTCTGTAACAACTATGGGCTGTGTCTAAGAGATGTTAGTCCACCTAGGGCCTGCGATTCATGTAAAAGGTTACTCTTTCCTTTGAGGTATGGTCTCTTTACACTCTGCCTGCACAAGTAGAGCAACCATTTTCACAGCAACTTCTTGCAAGAGATTCAGAAAAGGGTTAAAGGCACAAAGAAGTACGGCAGCTTTGGATTGCATTTCCATGGTGGTTTCTGCCTATTCAAGAGTCACAAGTATTTTCGAGGAACCAAAATGCAACGTTTCTTGATAGTGGTTCAGGAGCCTGGTGTCTGGTCAGAGCCAGCTGTTGAGCTTTGATCACTAAAAACAAGCACATTGCTAAGGAGACAGATGATGTGCGGCTTTCCGGACTTTGCAGATCCAATGACCTCAGCTTCCTGGGTTAGGCCTGGTCCTTATGTGTGAGAATCATGGAAAGGAGGAAGATAGGGAAGGGGCTAAGGAAGAGGAGGCAGGAGAAGCTGATGAATAGGAATGAGGGAGAAAACAAAAGGGATACAAAAGAAATCACACTCAGAGTGCCGCTGTCCTTTCCCACATCTGTACCTTCAGTCTTCAAAGGTTTCCATGGAGATGAGTTGTCTGAGTTTATGGCAAGATGTAGCAGGCAGTGCCTGTCCTCAGAAACCAATTCTGCCCCTCATGTGTAACACATGCTTTCCCAGGCCCTCAACTGCTTCATGTGGGCTGTGAGGAGGTGGGTCTGTGAACTCCAAGTTCCTTTTTCCAGTTCTGAAATCCTGTAATTGTAACTAAGAAGTTACCATTGGTAGGACCACATAGTGTTCAATGCCTCCCCTTTCCCCCAAGAAAACAAACGGTCACCGTCTCCATTGCTCTTGTGAATATGGACATTCTTGCTGTGTTCTCTTCTTCCTGTCCACCATCCTCCTTTCTGAGCTTCCTATTCTCCTTCCTATTTATGATCTGTTTCCTGATTCTGACAAATTGCATTGCTCCCATATCTGGCAAAATCAAGGAACAAGCCAGGATAACCTGCCTCCTCCAGTGAAAGAATTAGCAGCCAGTCACATCTGTTGAACATCTATTATATGCCCAGGGTTGTGATAGGTAGTGCCCAGTACAGCAACTGCCACTACCATATACTAAATGACTACTCTGTGCCTGGTGCAATAGTAGGCATTTCACAAACATCATTCAAGCCTCAAAGCAAACTTCTAAGGGCTTTAGTCTCATTTTACGGATGTTGCTAGTACAAAGACAAAACTGTGTTACTAATCTTATGAACCTAGACCATTCTCTACCTTCAGGTAAAGATTTGCCTAAGCCTGGAAAGAGAAACCATCCTCCAAGCACTGCCAAGGTAGATTCCACCTCTGTTGGTGAACTCTCAGCACCACCTCACAATGAAGAGGAAAGAAAAATGACCCACTTTGGGTGATGCAGATGAGGGTGAGGGATGCCTGGGCCTCACAGGGTCACCCATTTGGGTCTAGACTTGTGGTTTTCAAGCTAGCAGAATCACCTAAAATACAGGTTTGGGTTTTGTTTTTTTGTTTTTTTTTTAATACAGATTCCTGGTCCCCATGTCCAGAGATATGACTCAGTAGTGTGGAATGGGACCTGAGAAATTTCTAACAAGTCCCCAGGAAAACTGATGCTGCCGGTCCTAGGACTAGACTTTGAGCACCCTGGCCTAGAGCAGGGCTCTTCACACTTCTTAGACTGCAAGCCACAGTGTGACATAAATTTTACATCATGTCACAGTAGACATATATACACATAATTAAAACAAAAGTTGTATGAACAATTTATTTTCCCTTACTACTTGTGAAGCCCTGAAATACTTTCTATTCAACTTCATTTTTTAAAAACAATGGCCCAAATTGGGGAAAGTTGCATTTGGAAAGCAGGGTATTATAGTTATGTAAGAAAATGTCCCTATTCTTTTATTTTCTTTTCTTTATTATCTTTTTTTAGAGAGAAAGAGAGAGAGAGCATGCACAGGAGTGGGGGAGGGACAGAGAGAGAGGGAAAGAGAGAATTTTTTTTTTTAATGTTTATTTTTGAGAGAGATTGAGAGCATGAGCCAGGGAGGTGCAGAGAGAAAGAGGGAGACAGAGGATCTGAAGCAGGCTCTGTGCTGACAGCAGACAGCCTGGGCTCACACTCACAAACTGTGACATCATGAGCTGGTGTCTAAGTCAGACGCCTAACCAACTAAGCCACCCAGGCACCCCAAAAGAGAGAATCTTAAGCGGGCTCCATGCTTGGCATGGAGCCCAATGTTGGGCTTGCTCTCATGCCCCTGAGATCATGACCTGAGCTGAAATCAAAAGTCAGACACTTAAACAACTAAGGCACCTAGGCACCCCCTTGTTCTTTTAGAGATGTATACAGAAGTTTTCAGGGATGAAACATCACTGTTTGTAATTTTAACTATCTTAGCAAAGAGAATAAATGAGATAAATACTGGGAAATGTTCATAATTGTTAAATCGAGGTGGCATATGGGTTCTTTTACTACTATTTATTCTTTTTACTTTTATTCATGTTTAAATATTTTTCATAATAAAAAAGTTTTTTAGAATGATTGTTTGGACCTACTCAATTGCTGTTATGACCCACTGCTGCCAGCTGTTTGAAAAATTGTGTGCTAAGGCAGAGCTGAGGAAAACAAAGGGAGAAGAGGAAGAGAGATGGTAGAGAGGAGGGAAGGAGAGTGGGGAGGTGACAGGAGATGGAGGAGGACAGAGAGAAGTGCACTGTGGGAGGTGATAGGAGTTATCACAAGTGCCTCAAGGTAATACCCCTCTAAAGGCTTCTTCCTCCACATCCCACTCAATTTTCAGTGTACTTTCCCCATTGGACCCTGGGCTACTTGGCAAGGAAAATACCTTATTCATCTCTGTAAACCCCAGTTCCTGGAGCAAGCCCAGAATTAGAGAACATCCATCAGTCAAAGCTTCTCATTTCACAAAGGACTTTCACCTGCCTCAACATTGCAGTGTTGCCTCTTTCCCCCAGTGCTGCCTGCTACGATAAACCTCTCTGAGCTAGGAGCCCAGCTGTTCTAATGCATAAGACCACACTGGGATTCTTGCCTAAGGGGTCACACCATGTGCCATCTACTGCACAGCTGACTGGAGAGGTGAACCCAAGAAAAGTGAAAAGTCACCTGGGCTCACACCATCCTGACAGTCATTCCACTGTCATCTGTGTCTCCTGAAACCAGGTGCCCCTGGCACAGGGGAGCGTGTGAGTACGCAAGTGCATATAGGGGGAGGGGAACAGCACCCCTGCCTCTATCTCTCTGTACTACCACTCTCCTCCCCCATATATGTCCTTTCTCAAATTTAATCTATTGTCAAAATAATGTATTTTCTTTGCAGAACATATTAGCAAAGTACAGAAAATTGAAAAAAGAGGTAGGAAAAAGGAGAGATGGAGAATTGATCATAATTACACCACCCATAGGCACAACCCCTTTGAATTTTCAAAGTGTATTTGATGCATTATTTTCATTAATAGACTATTAGAGCAGTTTTAGGCTTGCAGAAAAATTGAACAGAAAGTACTGAAAATTCCCATAAACCCACTCGCTCATAGCAGTTTCTCATATTATTAGCATCTTTTATTAGTTTGGCACATGTGTTACAATTGATGAAGCAATATAGATACATTATTATTAACTAAAGCCTATATTTTACATTATGGTTCACTCTTTCTGTTGTACTGTTCTTTGGGTTTTGACTAATGCATAATGTCATGTATGTATTCACCATTGCAATAATCATACAGAATAGTTTCATTGCCTTAAAAATCTTCTATGCTCCACCGATTCATCCTCCCTTCCCTTCAGATTTGGGGCAACCACTAATATTTTTACTGTCACCATACTTTTGTCGCTTCCAGAACGTCATATAGTTGGAATCACACAGTATGTAGCCTTCTCAGACTGACCACCCTCACTTAGCAATACGCCTTTAAGTTTCCTCTATGTCTTTTTATGGCTTGTTAACTCTTTTTTTTTTTAACACTGAATAGTATTTCTTATATTCTGTTGTATAGAGGTATCTGTTTATTCATTTACCTACTGAAGAACATCTGGGTTGTATTCAGTCGCAGACAATTATAAATAAAGCTGCTGTAAACAGTGTGCACAGGTTTTTATGTGGGCTTAAATTCTTAAATCATTTGGGTAAATACCTATGAATGCAATTGTTGGATTGTGTGGTAAGACTATGTTTACTTTCGTAAGAAACTAAAACTGTGTGTGTGTGGTTTTTTTTTAAGGAAGCTTCACGTGGAGCCCAATCAATGCAGAGCGCAATGTGGAACCAATACAGGGCTTGAACTCATGACCCAAGATCAAGACCTGAGCTAGGGGCACTGGGGTGGCTCAGCTGGTTAAGTATCTGACTTCAGCTCAGGTCATGCATGATCTCATGGTTCATGAGTTCGAGCCCTGCATAGGGCTCTCTGCTGTCAGTACAGTAGGTTCCTGTCTCCCTC